AATTGAATTCATTTCCGGCACCTTTGGCTGTCCGGAATTCTTCCAACCACATGACCAAGCGCACCTATGCTTTTCGACCAGTTTATTATAGAGAACTTAAAAGATAATACAAAAAAATAATATCATATGGCATTATCATCAAGTTCCCTATTCCTATACAATACAGTACAGTACTGGTTTAACGTAAATTATGGAAGCCGACTCATAATTGGAATAATTTTTAAAAATAGATATTTTGTGAAACAACCAGAATTATGTGATTTATGCAATGCATAATTCGTATGCGACATAGGTTAACTGTTAAATTTGCTAAGTACGTACGTATATTATGCCCAAACAACCCTGGACACTCTAATACAGAGTAACGATCGTGCAACTGGGATAATTGTTAAATTCATATCATGATAAGGTAGCTAAAAAATGTAATTCCCAATTTGTTAACTGAGAGAACTTAAGATGAGTGAAACAAGCAACCCACTTCAACAACTTCAAAAATATATTATTGAGAAGAATATTAATAGTTATGATTATACTTGTTTTAGGAACGTTAAATTAATTAAAAACGAGAGATTTACAAGAGTGTATCGCGCTATTTTTGAAAATAAAATTACTATTATATTAAAATCATTTGAAAACAATAATCCAACTATTAATGAAGTTATTAATGAGGTAATCTGTGATTTTGTATTAGGTCATGTTTGTTATTATATTAATGTTATAGTACTGTATGTCATTAAATCATTATCATATGCACAGCTTAAGTTATATCCAGTGTTTAAAATCTATATGCGGAATCAGATTGAAAATTAATTCCGCAAGTAAATTTTCCTTTGAATCTGCGGATTTTATTGTGTCATAAAGCTCACGCGTCTTTTGTTAAAAATTTTTATTATGTTTACAGGAATTATCAAGCTTTCCGCATATTGAAACAAAATCTAATTTTAAACACTGGTTATATCATAGAATTGATATACACCCTAACATTATACGACTCAATGGTGTTACTAGAAAAAAAGATATAATAATACATATCTTAGTTTCTTTATTTATAAATGAATTCTACGTTAATCATTATAAATCTGATATATTTTTTTCGATGTATACGAAGGAGATTCAAGTATTATACCTTACATGTTGATTTTTGAGAACGTCAACGGTGGAACATTAAGATCATGTTTACATGAAAATTCACAACACCTATCATGGAATGATATAATTAAATTTTCATTTCAAATTGCAAGTGCTGTTAGACATTTACATTCTAAAGGAATATTTAATCTTGGATTGGTAATATTTAGAATATAATCATTATGCTGTAATTTTGAATTCTTTTCTTTTTTGGTTTGTTATTAAATTAAAATATCTATTTTCTATAGCATTCGGACGATATATTTGTACATAATAAAAATATAAAACTTACAGATTATGGGCTTTCAAATAGATTAAAGGGACAAATTGTTAAACATTGACATCTCGGAATTTATAAAAAATCCGATGTACATAGTGTTGGCTTCCTTATGCAAGAAATATACAACTGTCTATTTACTGAAAATGTTGTCGGCCCTATAGAAAAAATATATTAATATTTATGAAGGTATAAAAATTTTTTTGACGGATACATTTTGCATAATGTTTTATGACATTTTTTTGATAACAGATTTTGTAATTGTCAATGATAGACTGTTTGCAAAATGAACATAATAATCGTCCAGAAATTCGGGATCTTTCTTACAAGTGCAGATTAGAGAATTTAAACGAGCAATAAAGGCACTTTGCAAGAACAATATACTGACTTCTTTAAATCTTAGTCGTAATAAACTTGGATCAGAAGGAGGAAAAGCATTAGCAAATGCGCTTTGCAAGAACACTACACTGACTTATTTATATCACGGTTTTAATAATCTTGTGTCAGAATGAGGAAAAGCATTGGCAGATGCAATTGCAAGAACATCACACTGACTTCTTTGAATCTTGATGGTAATAATCTTGGATATGAAGGAGAAAAGCATTAGCAGATGTATTTTGCAAGAATAGCACACTGACTTTTTGCATCTTGATACGAATAATCTTGGGTCAGAAGGAGGAAAAGTATTAGCAAATGCACTTTACAAGAACACCACACTGACATATTTGTGTCTTTATGGGAATAATCTTGGATCGGGAAGGAGGAAAAGCATTAGCAGATGCACTTTGCAAGAACACCACACTGGCTTCTTTAGGTCTTATTCTTAATAATCTTGGATCTGAAGGAGGAAAAGCATTAGCAAATGCACTTTACAAGAATACCACACTACTTCTTTGAACCTTGATTTTAATAGACTTGGATCAGAAGGTGGAAAAGCATTAGCAAATGCGCTTTGCAAGAACACTACGTTGAAAGGTTTGAATATTTAAGATAATAGACTTGGATCGGAAGGAGGAATAGCATTAGCAAATGCACTTTACAAGAACACACACTGACTTCTTTAGGTCATATTCTCAATAATCTTGGATCCGAAGGAGGAAAAGCATTAAGAAATGCACTTTGCAAGAATACCAAATTTAAGAATAGATTTTTCAGTTTCTATAAAATATTTAATAAGGCAAGAATATTAAATTGAGGAATATTATATTCTTTAGCAGAAAACAAAAGACATTGTTTTCATATATCTTATGCAGTTAAAAAAACTTTAGCATTATAAGTGATTAGTGCTTATAGATTCTATCTATAAAATCAATAGATACAGGGGGCTACTAGTGTATTGTGGACACTTTTTAAAAATTTATATTGGGATAAATAAAAAAGATATAAAGCTGAAGATTATACAAAATA